GGGATCAAATACTTATTTCATTCATGAAAATGCAAATTAATGTATAACTTTTTTGTAATGCATTTTTCTGGTTTTTTTTGTTATTGTTGTGTCTCTCACTGTTCAAATAAACCTACCACTGAAATTGTAGACTGATCATTTCTTTGTTAGTGGGCAAACTTACAAAATCAGCTGGGGTTCAAATAATTTTTTCCCTGACTGTACATTTTTAGATTCAGTGTGACCTGCACAGTCCAAGGACATCATTAAATCTTATGTACACCACAAATCACTGCTCACAAACCTGCCTAGAAGTCAGAGTAACAGAAGCTGCAGATGTTCACTGAGAATCCTTGTGTTTTTAAGTTTCCCTGTGTCACAGTGATGCAGTGAGAGCTGTGTGGACATCTACAGGCACACTGCAAACAGGAGCTGGTAACAGCTCATTTGCTGACTGATTAATGAACAGATTAAAAAAGTAAAATATAAACTAAAACTGTTCTTTTAATAAACTTTAAAAAAGTGACTTAAAGTTACCATTCCAACAACAGAACCCAGGAACTGTGAGCTCAGAACAGAGCACAGATCACTTCACATCAATCAAGAAATTTTATCCAGTAGGTTAAAAAGCAAAATAAAATATTGTACTCAGCGTCTCCATGGCAACAGTGTCTTTCATTTAAACAACCAAAGCCTCCACATAAGGCTCTCAACAGATTCACAACATGTTTCTTCTCATTGTGTCTCCGGTTTTAGTCGGTTTTCTGCAGTCCACCTGCAGAGCTCCTGGTTCTGCAGGTGGAGAGACAGAGTCTGGTCAGTTTCCCACTAAACAAAGAGAAACTTTTACATTTTATCTCGCTGTAAAATGTGTCAGGAGGCTCAGTAAGAACCTGTATCTTTAGCAAATACAGTACAAACAGGTCGGTAACATCCAGTGTCGTTTTCACTTCATTCCAGCAGGTGGTAGCGTCGGGTCGATGTCTGCAGACTGCGGTCTCCAACATTAAATGACCCTGATATGGTCACAGATGGACCTGCATCCATTAAAGTGACACAGGAAACAGAAGACAGGTGCTTCTGACGGAGCGGCTGATGATCAGGCAGCTGTGAGCTCAGCTCCACCTGAGGCGTCACAGAGTCCTCTGGCTTGCTGTGCTACTGACAAGGCTCTTCTGGTAAAAACACGTGACAACTGGGCCTGCTTAAAACTTTAGCACTTCAGATATATATATCACAGAAACAATGAGGAATTTAGTCAAGGGCCGAATTAGACACAAAAGGTGAATATATTAAATAAAATCGAAGTGACAGGACTTCATCCAACTTTCACATCAGATTTGTCAGGGACAAAATCAGCAGGTCAGAGTTTCTGTCTGTAACATGTGGGTCAAAGTCTGTCCACATTCCAGCTCTCTCTCTCTCTCTCTCTCTTCCTGGTTCCGTTTTTTTTTTTGTTGTTGTTGTTTTTTTAACTCCCAGTACTTTTTACTTTCACCTTGTGTTGGCAGCAGGTCTTTTCTCAGTGTGAAGCTTTGGTAAGTGCCAGTTTTCAGTGTGTGAATGACTCCCAGCTGCTCTGTGGGCTCACTCTTAGTTTCAAGGGACTGTAACAAGTCAAACCTGCAGGTGTTTATGTATGAAAAGCTGCTGTTTGTGTGGAGGTAGGCCTTGTGCTAACAGTTAGCCACCGTGTCCCGCTGC